TTGTTTACATGTGGAACACTCGTGGTATTGAAATTAAAATACGTATCGCTTGTGGATGTTCGATTCCCGGTATGTTTTCTGTTGCTCAAAACGTTGCACCTGGAATCGGTGATTTTCCTAGACGACGAATCTCCTCAGAAGCTTTTATCAAGCTGTCCTGTTCTTGAAGTCTTGGATTTGGCTCGAGCTGATAATGACAATGTGACAAGTTTCTCTGTTATGGTGCCTTCATTACAAAGATTTATATATTATGGAGGATCTGGTGCTGAGCTTGTGATGAATACGCCTGCTTTGAAGTACTTTAAGACTATTGATCATGGTTCTGAGTGTATGATTGAGTATCTGCCTGAGGTTGTGGAAGCACATGTCGAGGTGTTATGCATCAATACTGATGATATCCTCAGATCTCTTGCATCAGTCAAACGCCTCTTGTTATGTTTACCCTCGGAGGTAAAATATACTTAACAACAACTTGAGGTTTCTGTTATGATCGAATCAAACTTGTAGTCTTTACGCTTATTTGTTTTAGTACTGCAGCCTGAGTTTCCTACTAGTAGTATCTTCCACCAGCTTAAACATTTGGAGTTTTGCACTTGTGAAACACTGTGGGATTACTTATGTCTATGCTCCAACAATCCCCGAAACTTCGATCCCTCAAGCTTAACGAGGTAAGTAAAACCTTTGAAACTATGAAACGCTTTGCGGGTTTTCTTGTTTGAATAAGTCTCTTATGGTCTTATAACGCACACAGATCCATCATGACTGCATTGTCTCTCGAGATCCTATGGTTCATTGGGATGAACCAAGCTCTGTTCCTGAAACGCTGAAGTTCGTTCTTGAGACTTTTGAGTGGAGAAACTACAGAGGATGGAAGAAAGAGAGAGAACTCGCAGCTTTTATCTTAAAACATTCGAGGCGTCTAAAGATTGCGACTTTTTCGCCAGCAAACCCTACACAACTGAGGAAAGAATTTCAAACCACAGTTGGAATGAAATATCGTATGGTCACGGAATTGGCGCGTTTGTCGAGGGGTTCTACAGAGTGTGAGCTTGTGTTTGGTTAAGTAAGCTTTTGTATAAAGAGAAAGGTAGTAGAACAGGAGTTTGGTTAAATGCTGGTGTGGATTCTCTCTCTCTCTGTCCCTCAACGATCTTACGGGAGTTTGGAGATTGGATTTATAGAAATATGGCCATTCTGTTATTTCTAATGACTTTGCATGTTATTGACTGTTGTAGACCTGAGAGTGGTTAAAACCGTTTGTAAGGAATGAATATTTATGAAGTTGAGTCGAGAAATATAGAATTCAGTTTATATATTTATTTTGAAAACAAAAGAAAATCAAAGAAGACAGTAGCCTTATTGTTATATGAAGATTAAATTATGTATGGAGTGATCATTAGGAACACACACACGTTTCGAAATCGATGTTGCAAACACCTTTTTTCGGACGACAAAAATGTTTGCAATCACCGTCTGTCGTACATAGTGGTCCGGCGCTTTTCCGTGACTTATTCACAGTTGGTGGTGGTGGGAAGCAAGCACACTTGCTTGGTGACTCGCAAAAGCATTGGTGATGCAGATTCTCACGCGCCGCCGTGGCTAGTAGCCCTGTGTGACCATATTTTAAGAAACTTGATTACAAAGATACTTTGATCAGACAAAGATTAGATAGTTGAAATGGACAAATTAAGACAGACCAGGTGATAATATGATGTAGATGGTTGCATAAGTAGCTAAGAAGAAACTGGTCTTTGTCATGTGTACTGTTTGTTGTTTTTGTTTTATTTTCTGGTGGATTAATTGGATTGTGTTTTTGGGTTCGTCTTTGCTATATTTTTGTTGTCAACTTGGTTAACTTATTTATATAGGCCAAGGTGTATATACTTTCTAACAAAATTTAAGGAAAATGAATTGTCTTTTCTTAATCTAGTATCTTAAGGACACAACAATATCTAAAGAAATCAATTATAACTTTAAAGAGATATTCTAAAATAACATTTTAGTATTTGTGTATTTGTTACTTTGTTATCTTATAAGTTACTATATATATTACAATTAACAATTTGTCACCTATTCAGACATATGTAGTTGTCATAATTTGATTATAAGAAAACTAAACAGCTTTACTTTTATCCCAAAAAAAAGAAAGATAAACAGCTTTACTCATCACAAACAGATTATATTCTCCACCCTAGATATGGTTTTTCATCTTTTACCGAAAACTTTTTCCTCAAGTCAAATCACAGTGGTTTAATTTTGGGAAATATAGCCATATGGCAATTATAATAACTTAAAACTAGGGAAACGACAAACCAGTAAGTTGAAATAGGAACTAGCAAAAGAGTAGGAAACAAAAAAAAATGGTTGAGAAATAAGTTAGGTTTTGGCCTTTTGGGCTGAAGAATAATAGGCTGGACTATGAGCAAACTATTGGAAGAAAACACAAGTTGCGGTCTGGATGTGGAATGGATCAGAAACACTTAACATTATGTCAACGAGAAGCACTTATTTATGTATTTAAATGTGAGGCATAAGCTAGTCGATAACACTTCCTAAGATATCATTGGCAGTAACATCCTCCAATATCATAGTTACAATAACCACCATTTCCACCGCATGTACTAAAGCACATTTCGTCCGACCAGCACGGCGGTCCGCTGTTGATCACTGCGTTTGGCGACCAACAAACACACTTACCGTTTTCAGTGCAGAGACCTCCGTGTGAACAAACGTTTGTGCAATCCATGCCTTGTACACATTGCTGATTCTCAAGCCCCACAACCATAGTCAATAACGCTTCTTTCCCATTTGCCGAAAAAAACAAAACAAAAAGTGCATGATGTTAAGTTTAAGATTTGAACTGCGTTTAGTTGACTAACAATGTGACTAACAACGTGATAGAGAACACTAAATCCCTCTTTTTTTAGTTACAATTTATGTCTTTGTGTTTATATAAGAGAATCAACAATATAAAAAGAAAAAAACCATCATTAAATCTTTTCAGTTTTCATTTAATTTTCTTTGGAAATTGTAAACATAAACACTAAAATGCATATGCAAACGAGTTATAATCAACAAAACATGTTTTCTGTTTGCATTTAACATACAAATAACAAAAACTATATAATGTAAACGAAAACAAACAAATCATCTACATATAAAGATCTGAAAATCAACCTAAAGTGGCGAGGTTTTAAATTAATCTATCATACGTGGAAAGACAAAACACAATATTTTAAGGAAGACGACAGAGATCGAACCAGGTGCAAGAAGATAAGTGAGAGCAAAGAGAGCAATGTAAGAAGTGGCCTTAGCCATTGGAAGTGTGTTCAGTCTTCTAATTTCGGATAATTCAATCAAATAGTTCTTGTGTATATAGCATTAATTGGGTTTAGCGAGATATTCGTGGGAAAATTCTATTCAAATTTCAAAATTGACTAAGGTTTTTTTTTTTTTTTTTTTTTTAAATTGACTAAGTTAAATTATGTTTCTTAACTTTTCTCAGTATATCCTTTCTCATATTCCCAAATTTTATCATTATCATACGGCAAATAATTGTATTTTTATATGAAGATAATTATAAATGTCCCTGAGTTAATCCTAATATCAATTTGAAGTTTTTGTACAATTTTAACGTCCATGCTTTATAAATTTATTGGTTGATCATAATATACTATCGTTTGATAACAAAATCGGTACTAATTCATTGGTTATGCATGTCATATCTAATCCGACTCTCAACAATTGGCTAAAACTGTTTATTGGTAGTGCAAGCCTTCAAACCTTCAATTTGAAATTAGTGTCAACTATTTCATTGGGAGTGCATGATATAACTAACCATTGCCTTATGATGTTAATTTCATACCAACTCGTATGCAATACGACTACAAAACTATATACAATTGTTCGCCATATGGGTAGAATGATAAGGGCATCATCAATGGGGGATCATGTGAGGGTGTTCTTATAGAGAATATAATGTTAAAATAATGTAAGATCATGTGTTTAGATCTTTTGTTTAGAAGTTGATTAGTGGGAGAACATGTGTAAGATCTTAAGACTTAATAATATAATAATCTAAATTAAATTAAGATTTTACAATTATTAAAACATTTAAAAATAACATATAAATTGCAAATGCCAAATTTATGAAAAACTGAAAATAAAAGTGAAAATACAATACTAAATATTTATGAAAAAAACATTAAAAATATAAATAACAATAAACAAACAAACATATTACTTAATAAAAGCACAAAAATATTTTATCTAATTAATACATAGTTTATTATCCAAATTTATTCCAAATATGTTGAATATTCCAACCAATGCCCAAATGCCACGTCACCCCGCAACACCCACAAGAACAGATCCAGGTCAAGAGCCCAGTTCCTGATCTTAAGCCCATTAACCCATTTTTTTGGATTTAAATAATGCTTAGATCAGGGGGGGTGATCCCCCAATGCAGATGGTCTAAGAGAGGATGTGTAATTATATTTTCTGACACTGGACACTAAATCTAGAGAATAATCTTCTTCTTTTAATGTGACAAAAATGTTCATTGGAAAATGGCTTCTGTTGTATGGTCTATTCATATCTTGACGACAATTATATATCAATGAGTTTGGATTTCTTTAATTTGTTCATAAGAATGGGCGTTCGGGAAACTTGTACATGCCAGTAATGCTAATTGATCCTAATATTCCATTATAAGAAAATCAATTAAGCTCTCATTTCTGATGCAAATGTAAAAACAAAACTAATAAGTTAAAAAAACAAATACAAGGGTTATATGAGACATGATTTTCAAAAACAATTTTAAAGGCCTCAGAGATCTTGGTGGTAAATATCATCAACTGAAGAATTTCTTCATCAAGAGTAGCAAATATTTTAATTACATCACCGGCCAAACAAAAACTTAGTTAATCCATAAAAAAAAAACCTTGAAAATTTGATAAATCAAAAAACAAAAACAAAAAAGTACAAATTGATGGATGAAGATGAGTCAAAAGTAGCTGGTAAATAATCACATCTTTCCCGTACGTAAGGGAAATCAATGGGAATCCGAATGATTTTTTTCATCACCCTCACCAATCCATCAACACAATCAATATCAGATTTTCACAAATTCAAAGAGAATTAAATTATCTACAAACTAAAAAAATCCAAAGCAAATTCGATTCAGAGATTGGTAGATGTATCTGCCTCTATTCACCGAGTACCCTTTGGTAAAGAACACGGAGTTTTAAGAAGCAGAGCAAGCTTACGAAGGTTCACGTAAGCTTACTGGAGATAATTACAAATCCATCATCTCTTTCGCCTAACGATAGATTCCTTAATCCCAATTACAAATAATTTGTATAGATCAAGGCCTTTGCAAATTAGGCTTTCTTTTCAAAAAATCGAATGAACACAGTATATTGAAAAACTCGTATATCAAACAAAACCATGCGGCGGAGAAAAACAAATTGATTGGATCATATAAAAGAAGAGAAGATTGGTATTTATATTTATACAGTGATGAAGAAGAGGTTGGACTTCGAAAACCCTAGTAATTAAACCGTGCTTAAAAGCCCGTTTTAATTAAGTGTGGGCTAAATAAGCCCATTATAACAAGCCCATAGTCACAGCTTGGGAAATTTGCTAATTACGGTACTAATTAGGATTTAGGTGTACGTGATTAACTAAAAAAACAGATAAAGAAAGAAGCGACGACGTTTTGGTTAGGGACAGACTGGTGATAGTAAAATAAATGGCCCATGCAGGTTTCGAACCTGCGACCTTCGCGTTATTAGCACGACGCTCTAACCAACTGAGCTAATGGGCCAATTTGTTTGTCTTGCTAAATTCAACTATAAACTTTGAAATTATAACAAATCGGGATGCATAATTGAAACTGCGTCGTTTTATCAAATCTGCCAAACTTTTGTCTCTCAGACACTGCACTTGATATTTCTCGTGGCCAAATCTTTCGATTCTCCGTTCATTCTCCGGTTCCGATCTCGAAGAAGATGAGAGTAGTAGTAATATCTTCCTTTGTCTCCGTCTCAGTGCAACTATCCTTTCTTCTTCTCCTTACTTCTGCTATTAGATCAAGCTCGTCTCCACCTAACGATCCGTTTCTCGGCATTTCTCCTCAAGGTTTGGATTTCTGCTCATTGAAGATCTGCTTCGTTTTGCTTAAGATCTTCACCAATATTACTCAGATTTGATCTTTCTTTTTCCGTTGATGTGTGTAGATGAGAAGTATTACAAGTCATCTTCGGAGATAAAGTGTAAGGATGGATCAAAGAAATTCACGAAAGCTCAACTTAATGACGATTTCTGTGATTGTCCTGATGGAACTGACGAGCCAGGTTCTTTTCATTTTCTCAATTTCTCTTTTTGTCATAAGCATTTTGTGTGTTTTCGATTGGATTGATTCTTCTCTGTTGAACAAAAATTGTGTAAGCTTTTCTTTGGTTTAGGATTGTGATTAGAGGATTAACTATTTTAGTTTCATTGTGAATTCAAAACCGGTGATTATTGAAGTTAGAGTTTGTGTTTAGTGGAATAAAGTTTTTTGCTTTTTGGGATTATATGTGTGATGGATCATCTTTTTGCTTTGCTTTTTATGTGTTTAAAACTCCAGGTACCTCAGCTTGTCCAACTGGAAAATTCTATTGTCGGAATGCCGGCCACTCTCCGTTGATTTTGTTTTCTTCCAGAGTCAATGATGGTATTTGTGGTATGTTACTCAAATTCTGTAATTTAGTTACATTTTAATTTCTGTTGAACCGCTTCTTTGCAAGCATTTGTGTTTCCAATGCAAGACATAGAAGAACTTGTTGAAGGGTTAGTACTTATGGTTTGTTTTCCCATGGGAGCAGATTGTTGTGATGGAAGTGATGAGTATGATGGTCAAGTGTCATGCCAAAATACATGCTGGGAAGCTGGAAAAGCTGCTCGAGAAAATCTGAAGAAAAAAATTGATACATATAATCAAGGGCTTGTAGTAAGGAGACAGGAAATCGAACAGGCGAAAGTGGGTCTAGAGAAAGATGCAGCAGAATTGAAGAAGCTGAAAAGTGAAGAGAAGATTCTGAAAGGCCTTGTTGATCAGCTTAAAGGTTTGGCGTCCTTTCTTTTGATGCATAGTTGAATATTTTTGTTGGCTGATTTTGCGGCATGAGAGTTGAGGTTTAGTTTTCATCTTAGAGAAACTTAAACGTACATATGTTGGTACCGTGAGAAAGTGGAACTCTGCATATAAGTGTAGTTGGATGCTTGAAATGCCTCAGGATCAGTTCTTGAATTTTCATTAACCACCAAAAGGAAGGGTAGAAAGTTAGAAAATACATGACTTGTAGTTGACGTAGTGGAATCTGATAGGATCATTAACTTCTTTCTATGATGACTACAGATGATAAAGAAAGAATTTTGCCAAGTTGACATGTTTTACATTTTCCTCGGCTCATTTCTTCTGTAGATCGTAAAGAACAAATTGAGAAGGTAGAGGAGAAGGAGCGTCTACAGAAAGAAAAGGAGGAGAAGGAAAAGAAAGAGGCCGAATTAGCAGCCCAGCAAGGAAAGGGGGATGCTGAGGAGAAGACAGATGACAATGAAAAAGTTGAAGAAAGCTCACATGATGAAGGGGCGCCTGAAGTTTCACAGCACGATGAAAATCCCGATGAAACCACACATCATGATGAGATTGGTAATTACAAAGATTATCCTTCAGAAGCGGTTAGTTCTTCTCTTGTAAATTGAAATAGATTTGCACGTTTTCATCTTTGTATTTTTTTAACAAGATAAGAAGTCAAACCATGAAAGATAAGCTTACCAAACCATTTGTCAATATTTTGGTCCCCTTTGGACCTCCTGCTCATTCATGAATCATGAGGTCATGAAATAAAATATTAAAGTTTCAATACGCGAGATGCTTGAAACTCTATCTTTTACTCATTGACACTTAAAACTTGGCTATCTAGAACTCATTCACATGACTATGAACCCTCGTCAATATCTTCAGTGCTTTTTATATATCTTGAATTCTCGTGTTTTGCTTTCGGATAGTGTAATTCAAACGGGTACTGAATTAGACTTTGATTTCAGGAGCCAGCTGCTGAAGCTGAAGCTAACCCAACAGCAACAAGTATATTGGAAGAGGCTACTCACACTCATCCAGCAGACGAGGTTTGAAGAATTATTTCATTCATATGCCTTTTCCGAAAGTGGTGCAATCTGTTACTTGGAAGTTAGATGATGATATAAGGTTTGTCTACAATGCAGCATGTTGTGGAGACGAAGGAGGAATCTCCCTCATCTGAGGATTCCGTCACAGAAGGGTCTCAAAATGATGGTAGTACCAAAAAGGAGGAATCAAACGAGGTTAAGAAAGTGGTAATTTACTTTCAATTCTGGCCAAGTGCTTACAAAATATTGTCATAAATCTGAGTATAGTTCTCTGAACTTCCGTAGAATACTCTTTTCTTTTTGAGACTTGTCTATTGCATTTTGTCACTAACTCTGCCCATTCTGAGTTATATCTCGGAGATTATTAAATTCCTGATTTTTCCCTAACGTCAAAGTACTCTACATTCTATCGATAGGAGGATCTTGTAATCGAAAAGAAGGAAGAGTTGTCAAAGGAAGAGTTGGGGCGTCTTGTTGCCTCTCGTTGGACAGGAGAGAAATCTGATAAGCCAACTGAGGCAGACGATAGCCCCAAAGCTGATGATCAGGAAAACCATGAGCACACGCCCACCACTCCACATGAAGTAGATGAAGATGATGGATTTGTTTCAGATGGTGACGAGGATACCAGCGATGATGGGAAATACAGCGACCATGAACCCGAAGATGATTCCTATGAAGAGGAGTATCGCCATGATTCTACTTCTTCATACAAATCTGATGCCGATGATGATGTCGATTTTTCAGGTCTGCACTATTTCCACAGATGTTTATATTCTTGTACGGTGTTAATCATCTATCATATTTAGTTGACATGATTGAATTTCGTTACGGATAGAGTCAACCTCAAATCCTACTTGGTTGGAGAAGATACAAAAGACTGTCAAGAACATTTTGCAGGCTGTGAATTTATTCCAAACCACCCCAGTGGACAAATCGGGTAAAAGAATTGCTTAGCATATTCATTAATAGTATTGGTGATTTTCATCTTCTTTAGTGATTCATCTATGTCGTCGTGGAATGTGCAGAGGCTGATCGGGTACGCAAAGAATACGACGAGTCGAGCTCCAAACTGCACAAAATACAGTCAAGGATATCGAGCTTAGAAAAGAAGCTAAAACAAGACTTTGGTCTGTATGATAAGACACCCTAAGCCTTCACTTATGTTTGCCTTTCTTTGAATTAGTCCTTATATATTGTTACTACAGGACCGGAGAAAGAGTTCTATTCATTCCATGGTCGTTGTTTTGATAGCAAACAGGGCAAGTAAGGATAATCTTAGTAGTTTAATGTCACATTCATTCTTTATTAGCATTATCAGGTATTATGGTCATGGTTATCTTTTGCATTTACTGTTATTACCTTAATATTGTCTTAGGTATACTTACAAAGTCTGCGCATATAAAGAAGCAACACAAGAGGAGGGCTATTCGAAAACTCGGTTAGGGTAAGTGTCGTGCCACTGTATCTTTTCTGTGCATGTTGATCTCTTTCATGATACATATATTAAAACTAATAACAAGAAATGGGTTCGAAGTTGACAATCATATATTAGTAATTTCTTTATCTGTGTTTATATATATCCTTCTATGCTTCATCATATTGTTTTATGGGATTTGTTAAAATAGGGAATGGGACAAATTTGAGAACTCTTACCAATTCATGTCATATACCAACGGAGATAAATGCTGGAACGGTCCCGATAGAAGCCTTAAGGTAAGTGTTTGATATTGTTAAAAGTCCAAAAAATATTGTCCAATCACAATTGGGTCCAACTATTTAAAGAACATAATCTGAGTCCTGAGACTTGCTCTTGCAAAGATCACAGACATTAAGTATAACAAAAGATTGACTAGTTCACTAAATGCAGGTGAAACTAAGATGTGGGTTGAAAAATGAGCTTATGGATGTCGATG